TATCTGTATTAACTGGCTACTCTGTGTCAGGCACTATGCCCGGTATTTCATATATTAATCTGTGACCTTATTTAATCCTGTCAATATCCCTTCAAAGTAGATATTACTTTCTACTTCAAAATAGGATTACTATCCCATTTCACAGATGGAGAAACTAAAGCTCAAAAATGTTAAGTGCACAAAATCATGTCTTAGAAAATTTTTCATAGCATTGCATTTCAGTTGAAGACATTGAATGTCTAAGTTCTTCAGGGGAGGGAGACATCCAGAGGGCTAGTATCAGAGGAAGGCTTCATGAAAGAACTGAGGTTCTAGGAGCAGAGCCTTGAAAAGTGAGCAGAACTTGGGGAGAAGAAGAGGTAGAAGGAATTCCAGGTCTGCAGGAAGGAGGCAGAGGATGGAGGAAGCATGATTCAGAAGGGTGTCTGATGAAAGGCCGGAGGTGGTCCTACCTGCCTGGCACCGAGGATTTGGTTTAAAAATGTTGAAAAGGGGAGACTTACGTAATACTTTAAACAATCAAAAATTTAAATTAAAAAAAAATGTTGAGAAGGTATCATAGACCCAGTGAGGGAGGCCCCTTGGCTGTGAAGATTGAAAGTGGAAGAATTTCCTGTCTACTCTTCCCTGTACTCCATAGCATCACTTCCTAGGCCATGCCCTGCAGCTGTGTGATGCCGTGGGAAGACCATACAGTGTGAAGCTGGCCGCTCCATAGCTAGGTGAAGTTCAAGTTACTTTGCCTTCCTGAGTCTGTTGCTTCACTTGCAAAATGGAATGTAGTGATGATTTCTCACAGAAGATAACATTCATTGAGTACCCAGCACCGTTGAATAGGTTGCCCCTTTGGTTGTCCTTTAATGCTCATGGTCTGGCTCAAGTGCTACAAAGTCTCTACAGGCAACTCAAGATGGAGCCAGTTCTTGGAAAAAAGGCAAGATCACCCCCGCTTCCTGCACATTCTATTCCTGCTTATGCATTCTGATGTCCTGCTTGCTTTTTTAGACTCTAAGTGCTATCCTGCTGACTCACTTCCGACTTCTCCTTCATCATGCTCAGCTCCTGAAAATGGAACAGAGTGGAAAGGGCCGGATACTGTGCTGTCTGGCAATGTGGTTAGGAGGAATTGGGTGGCTATCAGGCCAGCCCAAGTGGATGGAATGCTGGGGACATGGACTGAGCAATGCCCAAAGTGTTTTCCTCATCTGACACATAGGACACTGTGCCTGGCCTGTAATACTAATAATAACCACTCCGCTCACTGCCACTGATGAGGAGCTAGGCAGGCCCTGGGCTGTGTGCTTTCCATGACTGTCTATTTGAATCATCACAATAACTGGAAAAGTCGGGGATTCTCTCTATTTTATGGACAAGGAAATTCAGACTATGACAGGTTAAGGAACTTTCCCAAGATCACAGAGCTCAGAAGGGGCAGAGCAGGGATTCAAACCCATGATCTAGATCTATACTGTCTAATATGGTAGCCACGAGCCACATGAGGCTAATGAGCACTTGAAATATGACTAGTGCGACTGAGGAAATTGAATTTTTAACTCAATTGAGATGTGTTGTAAATGCAAATATATGTCAGATTTCAAAGACCTAGTATCAAAATATATATAATTTTTATATTGATTACATGTTTAAAATGACAATATTTTGGATATATTGAGTTATATAAAATATATTAAAATAACTATATATCTGTTTCTTTTCATTTTTAATGTGACTACTAGAATATTTAAAATTTCACAGTGGCTCTCATTATATTTCTATCATATAAAGAATGTCCCAAAAAATGTATACACACTTTAACAGCTGTAGATTCTATTACATTTTGAAAATGAAATGTATTTTCACAAACACTCCCTTCAAAGTGTGTATACATTTTTGGGGGACATCCTATATATATTTAGACAGAGCTGATCTGAACCATGAACATTAAATGGTCATTGGGCCAGTGATTTATCAATTGATAATTTGATAAATTACATTTTGATAATTTTGGGGGGCATGAATCCTCAATTTATGTATTTTTTACTTATTTATAAATTATATACATGTACATTACTCTGCATATTATGTATATTATAAAACACTGACAAAATGGACATTTTAAAAAGATGAAATTAAAAATAAGCAAAATTAGTTGTATTCATTTCCTCTTAGAGCCTAATAGCTTACTTTGTCAACTTGGAGTATGTTCACACCATTTTGGAAACTCCTGCACTACACTTAGAGCTCTTAGAGGGCAGAGATTTTAATTCATGTACCCCCTCCCACATTATTGAACGTAGCACCAAACCTACATACACTTCATGCTCAAAAAATGAGCATGGAATCAATAGCTCTGAATATGCAATAATTTTTTTGGTGGATTGGATTATTTCTTTATTTCACATGTATTGAGCACTTTCTAGGTGCTAGGTACTATAATAGGTGCTGAAAGGTAAGTTTAAGAAGCCCTGGCTCAGGTTGATCAATGGTTATAGCATCGGACCACACAACAAAGGGTGTCAGGTTTGATTCCCAGTCAACGGCAGGTATCTGAGTTTCAGTTCTCTCCCCGCCCCTGGTTGAGGAGCATGCGGGAGGCAACTAGTCAATGTGTATCTCTCACATCGATGTTTCTCTCTCTCTCTCTCTCTCCTTCCTCCCATCCTTCCCTTCCACTCTCTCTGAAAAAGCAATAGAAAAAATATCCTCAGGTGAGGATTAACAAAACAAAAAACCAAAACAAACAAAAAGTTTAAGAAAATTCAGCCCCTTCTAGGCCAGTGCTTCTCAAACTTGAGCATGTGTAAGAGTCACCTGGAGGGCTTGTCAGACAGATTCCTGCCTGCACCCCCAAGAGATTTTGATTCAGAAGGCCTGGGATAGAACCTGAGACTGCATTTCTAAGAAGCTTCTAGGAAGCTACCCTTTGGAGGAGACTGATATGCACTGGGAAATTGGAAAAGCATCCCAAATATTATGTGAGGATGGGGCTAGGGAAAGAGAATGAACATATATTAAACTTTCACTGTTTGCAAAGAACTTTCAAAATATATAACCTCATTTACCCCTCACCACAACTTGGTGAGGCATATATTATCTTCATGTTCAGTTGAGGCAACTGAGATGCAGGTTAGTTAAATTACCTAAGTCATAGAGCTAGTAAACAGCAGAGCTTAGATTGGTACCTACTTCTCTGCACTGAAGAACTCATGCAAATATTTAGTGTGTCTTCATCTTTTAGACACTGCCCTGGGAACCTGAGTGGGACAGACAAGCTCTCTGTCTTGGTCAGACTCAGTGGGACAGACAAGCTCTCTGTCTTGGTCAAACTCAGTAAACAATTAAAATACCGAGTTTTCAGCGCTATGAGGGAGGCAGTGCAATGGAGCTTTATAACAGAGACACAACTCTACAACAGGGTTGGGAAAGCTTTCCAGGAAAAAAAAAAAAGTAAAATTTACAGGAAGAATTGCATGATAAGTTAGAAAGTGGAGGGTGTGTGAGGAATGTTTTGAACTGAAGATATGCATGAAGGCTTGGAGAGACTGAAAAAAGTTTAGAATATCTGAAGAGGGTGGATATGAGAGATAAGGCCCCGAGGAAGGCGGGAACCAGCTAGTGCTGTGTCATTTAGACTTACTGACTTTAATCAAGGGTAGGAACATGGTCAGACTTGAATTTTTAAAAGATTGCTATCCTCTCAGTGGAGGATGGATTAGAGAAGAGCTAGCCTGTAAGCAGGAAGATGCACTAAAGATGCCAGTAGTGAAAATTTTAGTAATTCTGTGGCAACTGGGAATGGGAAGGAGGTTAGAAGTGTTCCAAAGTGTTGAAAACTTTATGCTTGATTGGAAGGGGAAGAGTGGGTAGGCAAAAGAGAAATCAAAGATGATCTCCAGGGTTCTCAGTGCACATTTTTTGTAAAAGAAGGTTCTGTAAGCTTATTATTTCATTTTTTAAAAGTAATTCAGATAAGTGAAGTTATGTGAAAGTGAAAGAAAGATGATGCTTTAGTAAGATTTCAATGACTAGAATTTATTGGCTTAGAGAATATGGGAGAAAATTATGATCTTTATGGTTAACTTTATTATTTTATTGTTTTAATTTGCATTTGTATGATAGGCTTACTGTCCATTGAGAGTTGAGTTGTGAATGCTGGACGTAACGCCTCTTTTTGCCAAGATCAAGATTGGCCACGAAGGACCAGCCATAGGTATGAACTGCCAGTATACTGAGTTTCTTCTGCGACAGTTTGTTGAGTAACCTTGAACCTTTCATTTCTGGAGCTCCACTTGCCTTTTTGCTCCCCCTAGCTTTTCACACCTTATGCCTTTAAAAGGGATAGTAGAGGGCTCCTATCAATGGACCAGCGAAGACTTGGACTCCGCCTTCTTCTTCTGGGCCCCGCCCCCTTTCCCTTAAACCACACCCCCTTCACTGATCCCGCCTCCTAAAAAAAAGTCGTCGCTGATATGACAGCGAATTCTCCACAATCCTGACCTATAGAAAATCTGAAAGGTGGGACCGAGATCAATCTTTTTGTCCATTTGTTAAATCAAGTGTCTATCTGGCACCAGTCCCAGCCCACTTCATCTTCAAGCCAAGGATTGGTTGCTCTGTTCTTGGTCCCCGGCTCATGATTGGTTCTTTCATTCCACCCTCTCTTCCAGCTTTGCAGGCGGGATTAGCACGCAGCTTCCTGCTCCTGCCAAAAAAATAAAAGAAGAAAAAGAAAAGAGGAGAGAGGCGAAAGAAAATGTCACAGAGATCTTTGGGTTTTAATTCGCTGCTAGCCTTGTCGGTCAGGCCAAACTCTGCCTTTTGATTGGTTTCTCTATCTGCCCATCCCAGATAGGGGCGGGATTTCCCCAGGAGACCCACATCTTGTTGCCACTGGCCGAACAGTGCGCCTGTCTGAAGCTCCGGTCCCAGGATTGGGAGCGGATGCGGACAGGTGGGCGTGGATTGGCTAGGGAAGCCGGTCAGTGTGAGACGGGGGCGGGGCCTCGGCGGCTGGTTGCGCGTGTCCGCCGCTGGCTCCGCTCTATCCGGCTTTGCTAGGGGAGGTGAGTCTGGCCGCGGCTGCACCGGCGGCAGAGGAGGCGGGGGCTGAGGAGAAGACGGCCGCAGCGACTGAGGAGGAGAAAGCGGCCGCGGGGACTGAAGCCGGGTGGGGGGGGAGGGGGGGAGACGGAGCAGCCTTGAGCCCTGCGGGGGCCGTCGTGCGGGGGGATCCACCCGCTCTCCCCCCCAACCCTCCTAGCAGCAGCAGCAGCCGGCAGCGGGGGTAGGAATCTGCCCGCTTCCGACTGCACCCCGCCCGCCTCTCCCGGGGCTGCTATTCTTTGGCCCCGGGACCCTCACCTCCTCCCGGGGCGGTTCCCTCTGTCTGGGCGTCCGAGTGCTCCCCGCCTCTCTTTCATTCCTGCCCGCACCTCCTCGCCTTCACTTTGCCCTGCTTCTCTTTCTCCTCGCGGTCCTGCCCGTCGCCTCCGCGGCTCGCGCTCTCGCTCCTGCCTCCTTCCTGGCTCTTCTCTGTTCGGGAAAGTTTAGTACCACCCCACCCCCCCAACCGGGTCAGCCTGCCGAAGAGGAGGGGGAGATGTAGGGAGGCCTGCGTGTGCGAGGGGGGGAAGCCGGTCTCCCTGAAAATTGCCCCCCATCTTCTTCTTTCGGGGTGGCTGGAACCTTTTTTAATCGTGTTTTCGAGGAGGCGGTAGGTGTTTAGAAAAGGATGTGGGGATGGAAGGGGTAGATGAGTCAACCCTCTTAGGAGATTCCCAGGGTGGTGCGCTGCCCGGTCCTTCTCGCGTGCGGAGTTCAGGGGGTCAGGAGGCTGGGCCTTTATTCCCACATTCGAAGTTGGAGCCTCCCCCGAAGTAAGGATGGCGTTTTAGTACCCACTTGTGGCAGGAAACCTGGGGGGCACGGGGGGGTTCCTTTTCCCTTTTTCTTTTCTTTTTCCTTTTTTATTTTTATTTTTGGCAATCCACACCCTTCCACACACACACACCCCACAATCCAACACCAAGATCCTCCAACTCGTTTGGATTGACTGACGAAGACGGAAAGCCAGTTGCGCCCCATGGTTTTTGAGGTGGCGTGAGTGGTTTTTCTTCATTTTTTTATTTAAATGGCCAAATGACAGCTTTGACCTAGTTTGCTTTCCAATCGGAGGGCATATTTTATTTTATTTTTTTGAATGTCTCTTTGTGGCGCGAGAGCCAACGCAAAAATGATGGCGGCTTACAATGGCGGTACATCTGCGGCAGCAGCAGGTCACCACCACCACCATCACCACCACCTCCCACACCTCCCTCCTCCTCACCTGCACCACCACCACCACCCTCAGCACCATCTCCACCCGGGGTCGGCGGCCGCCGTCCACCGCTGCCATGCTAAACCCCGGGCAACAGCAGCCATACTTCCCATCACCGGCCCCTGGCCAGGCCCCTGGACCAGCTGCAGCAGCCCCGGCTCAGGTACAGGCTGCCGCAGCTGCCACGGTGAAGGCGCACCATCATCAGCACTCGCATCACCCGCAACAGCAGCTGGACATTGAGCCGGATAGACCGATCGGATACGGAGCCTTCGGTGTTGTCTGGTGAGTGTCAAAGGGAGGACACAACTTCTCAGGGTGTCTTCTCGTGGTGGTGACGGAGCGAGTCACCGCCTACGGTGGTCTCCACGTTGACCAAAGTGGAGGAGGACACACTCTGTAGGAAGACACACCCTCACTTGCGTGGTCAAGAGGCCTAATGCATGGGCTGTCTAAGCTTATACTTTTTTTTCTTTTTTTTAATTGTTAATCCCCACCTGAGGATATTTTTCCAGTCGATCTTGTAGAGACAGTGGAAGAGAGAGGGAAAGACAGAAACATGGATGTGAGAGAAACACATCCATGGGTTGCCTCCTGCAAGCTCCCGACCAGGGCCCAGTGCGGGGAGGAGCCTGCAACCAAGGTACGTGCCCTTGACCAGAATCGAACCCGGGATCCTTTGGTCCCCAGGCCAACGCTCTAGCCACTGAGCCACACCGGCTGGGGCTAAGCTTATGCTTTTGAGTCATGTCACATTTTGGTGGAGAAACCTGTTTGCTGTCTTACCAAACTTTTTCTTTGGTCCGCAGGCCAACGCTCTAGCCACTGAGCCACACTGGCTGGGGCTAAGCTTATGCTTTTGAGTCATGTCACATTTTGGTGGAGAAACCTGTTTGCTGTCTTACCAAACTTTTTGTTTAGAACCTAACCAAGCCTCTAAGTGTGGGATCCATAGATGAATGTGGGAAACGGTTTTTCCTGCGAAAACCTTGGGCATCTCTCCTGTTTGATTTAGAGTGAACCAGTTGCCCAATTGCAGCAAATGTCACAACAGACCCAAACTCGATTCCTTTTCATCATTTGACCATTGGGATGTACCTTGCAAAACTACTTTGCTATCCCTCCCGTCTTTTCAGTCCTTAATTTGAGATCTTGATCCCCAGGAAGAAGATAGGGTTCATATTTGAACCAGTTAAGTCACTTCTTGCGTGCTTTATTTTAAACCGTAAGGCTACAGTTGGGAAGTATTTCGCTTCAGCCTTTTGATAAGAATGCATTAAATATAGCATCACACATGAGTACCACAAATGAGGTCAGTAGATGGTAGCTATACAGTGGCCCACATTTGGTGTAATGTTTTAGTGTCATTTAGTGCCTCTTAATTTGCTCTTATCCCTTGGTTGGTTGCTGTAGTAGGAAGTATGCTTTTTAAACATATGAAACTGCTCTACTTTTGCTGGTGCTAAGATATTTCTCAAAGTCCAAGGGTTTCTTAAACGCAACATTGTGTCTGGTCTTGGGAAGATTGGTAGTTAATAATAAAATGTACTTATCATTGTAGGGTTCTATTTGTGTCCAAACTAGAGTGAACTGAGTTTTTCCACCAAGGATTCAGTGGTGTGGATAGATGAATTGATATTTTGAGTGCATTCAAAAATAGATTCTTGTTAATGTCTAGAAAAGCCCCCATCACCACAGGAAAATGAACAAACTCTTTGGAACTAGCCTCGTAAATGTCTCCTTTCGTCATTGTTTTTCAGGCTATACTTGATGAATATCATTTTTGCATTGTATCTGGCCATCTTTACATATATTTAAGATTTCATAATGTAGGCTACTAAGTGATGGGATCTGTTTGTGTGTTTTTTTGTTTTTTTGTTTTTGTTTTAAACTAGTAGTGTTTTCCCAGCTAAATCTCCCAGGAGATTGCTGCTGTAGTGCTCCCTTCTCTAAGGTGTGTGGGATTCCTGGTGGCAAAGAGTAATGGTGCCTCTTTGATCGTTCTGCTCAGGGACCTGCCTGTTCCTGCCTTCCTCTCTTCTCTTCCATATCCTATCCTCAGGGATTGCACTGTGAACTTCCTTCCATTTCTTGCCTGACCCTTGAGGATTTCAAAGCTTGATTGGGGGGGAAGCGGGGGGGAAGCGGGCAGGAAAAAAGTTGTTCCTTGCTTTAAATTTTGTCGTTGATTTACTGAGAATTTGTGTGGATTTTCTTAGCCATGGATACTCTTTCATTTTAGTGCTTTGCATACAGTGCTAAGAACTAGAGATACTGAAAGGGAAATGGGTTGTATTTCCTATACCATAAAGGTGTTACATACATTTCTATCAAATGGTGATGTTACCTGTAGAAATTTTAACTTCAAGTTGGTGCTAAGGGAAAAGTTTTTATTTTTAAAGGCGAGGGAGGTGAGGGATTGGAGTGCTGAAACATCACCCACAGTGAACATTCTGATAATAGGTATTCTGAATTACTGATATATTAAAATCCCAATATGTTTGATTTGAATTCATTCTAGATCTTTCATTGATTGACTCCTTCTACCACTCTATGGAGTTTGTTCCATATACTTCAAGTGCCTCCTGTGTACCATCTTCTGTTGTAGTACATCGGTTGTTTTGTATTTGCCTGTCTCACTGACTACATTTCTAAGCCCCTTAGGGGTAAAGACTGTGGTCTACAAAAATACATTTTTTTGTCCTAGCCGGTTTGGTTCAGTGGTAAGAGCATAGGCCTGTGGACCGAAGGGTCACGGGTTCAATTCCAGGTCAAGGGCACGAACCTTGGCTGCAGGCTCAGTGCCCAGGGCAGAGCATGTGTTGGAGGCAACCAGTAAATGTGTCTCTCTCATATCTATGTTCCTCTCTCTTCCCTCTCTTCCACTCTCTCTAAAATCAATAGAAAAATATCCTCTGGTGAGGATTTAAAAAAAAAAAAAAGATACACTTTTTCTCCCCAGCACTTAGCACAGTGCTGAGGCATCTTTGCTGCTTGGTTACTTGATCTGCTCAAGTCCCTTCTTAGTTCTTTAGCCAAGTTTTTCTAGTTATTGTATTGAGTGTTTTTATCAGCTGTTACAGGTGACATTTCTGGTATGAAAAAAAAGAGTTCCAGGTGTGCGTTTTAGTATGCAAATAATTTTCTATTTTTATATTTCCATATTATTGACTTGCTGTCTGAATTGCTTATTATATTTGGAATTTAACTGCTATGTGACCTAAGATTGTTAAAACCAGAGATCTGAACACCAAACTAGAGTGAAGTGCACTCATATTCTGAAACCCAAGTTAAAGATATTGATAAGGTGTTATACTTTTCAACTAACTGAACCAGAATTTTTCTTTTTAATTTAGAAAGGACCCAATAGAAACAACTATTTTCTAAAATGATTGCAATGTAACATAAAAATATTCTCCTGCCCTAGCTGGTTTGGCTCAGTGGATAGAGCGTCGGCCTGCGGACTGAAGGGTCCCGGGTTCGATTCCGGTCAAGGACATGTACCTTGGTTGCGGGCACATCCCCAGTAGGAGGTGTGCAGGAGGCAGCTGATGGATGTTTCTCTCTCATCAATGTTTCTAACTCTCTATCCCTCTCCCTTCCTCTCTGTAAAAATCAATAAATATATTAAAAAAATACTCTCCCAATGATATGTCATTTGATTCAAAGCACCATATACCTACTTGGGTATTATAAGATTCACATATATTTAATGCATTTTTCAAGTATTTTTTTCTGGCATGGCATAGGAAAGGAAACTATATCTGCTTTCATGTGTGTGTTTTTTCTGGACATGCACCCAGTGGTACTAACTGGTGGCTAAAAATGCTGCATGTAATTTTTTTTTTCCAATTCTTAATCAAGGGCACATTCTTCATTGATTCTAGAGACAGAGAGGAAGGGGGGGGGGGGAGAGAGAGAGAGAGGAGAGAGAGAGAGAGAGAGAGACGTCAATGCATGAGAGAGAAACATTGATCAGTTGCCTCCCGTATGTGCCCCAGCCAGAGGTTGAACTCCCAGCCTGGGTATGTGTCCTGACCAGTGATCGAACCTGTGACCCTTGGGTTCACGGGATGACGCTGAGCCACACCAGCCAGGGAAACTGCTGTATGTAATATTGAGGGATATTGTTGTTCCTCCATGTAGGCAAGGAGAGATTTTTACAGAAGTGATGTAGCATTTTACCATTCAGATTTATCACTGAACAGTTTAGTCTGCAGGCTTGATTTCTCTTTCTGCTGAATTTAACTAGTGGAATAACTTATCAGTATTGGACAGTTGTGTAAAGGTAGAGAATTACCTATTAGCTTGCTGGTTAAGATGGTGCTTTGACAGTTCAATTAAGGTTTCATTAACAACTGTCTGCTGTGTTTTATCTCTAAGTAGGGGTTCCAGTTTACCTGGCAATATGATCATGGGGTAGCATGAGGTACATTCATTGTCTATGATAGAATATTGCTCATGGGTCATCAAAGCATCATATATAATTTGACCTTCATCAGATGTCAAGGCTTCCATATATATGGTCATTTTCATAATGCAAAATCAAAACACAAAACAGTGCACAAAAAGAAACCTGAGCCATTTGGTGAGGCTATCATAAATAGTTTTTTTTGTCTGTAATTCATTGTTGCCAGGAGAAAGTATGTTGTGCTTAGAGATATGACAACTCTGGGACGAAGAGTATTGCATTATAGGTTTCAGGGTCTTAGGAGGTGTATACTTTTGACAGTTGGAGGAGGTTGACTACATGAGAGAGGTTTGAGGACTGCTAAACCCATGCAGTTTTGATCTTGGCCACCTGAACTATTACATTACAGATTGAACTAATGGCACAAATTGCCATTTTGATAAAAGTGAGTCTGGGAAAAGTTGTTGTTTTTGTTTGCTTGTTTTGTTTTTTTACTTATCTGATTAATTGAAAGGTAAAGACCCTGGAATTCATTTGGTCTGGTGCCTTTGTATTCCAAGTAAAGTTGGAGAACTTTGAATTTTATTCTAATACCTTCTGCTTGAATTTTATTCTAATACCTTCTGCGGGTTACTAATATTTAAGTCTTTCAAAACTTAAGCATCACTGTATTGATATTTAGTTATTAACTATGTGATAGTGATAAATTATTTAACTTCTCTATTCCTCATCCACAGAGTGAGGATAACAATAGCATCTATCTCATAGGATTGGTGTAAAGATTAAATGAGGTAATCCTTGTAAACCAATGAATACATTGTCTAGGATACAGTAAGCACTCAAAAAATATTAGCTTTTTAAAGTGGTAGTTATT